AAAAAAAAAAAAAAAAAAAAAAACATCCAAGTACACAATTGGATACAAAAAAATTAAAAATACATCCCTTGGGGAAAACTTGTGGTCTTTCTTCAGACCACATTGAATTGAATCTTCCCATACATGAATCATCCAGTATTCACGCAGAGTTCGGAAAAGGGTCGCAACCCAAGGGTTTGATGTTGGTAGCCTATCTTGATGCAAGCATTAGTGGCTGATTTCACGGCCCGAACCCGTGACCTATAGGTTACACGAAAATAATTTTACCGTTGCTCCAAGGCTCCCTCCGTAAAAATGAATAAGAAAGAAAAAAGAAATTAATCCCCCTTCCTTGTCTACTGCTACTACTTTTTCTTAGGTACAAGAATGTCAAAATCAGTAACAGTCCACTCTGCCACTTGATTTGGTTCTTTATAAATTTCTGTTCCCAAATTAATTGAACTCCATTTCCTCCTTGCTGGTTTAGTTCCTGGATCCTAAAACAAAACATGTTCCATCATTAATTTTAGTGTATTTTCTAAGTAATCTTGCCATTAGCCCATCCCTTCTATTATCTTGTCTTTTTTCTCGAGTATTGTTCTAGCATTTTACTCTGTTTGTCCCAATTTATATGACACTTTTTTTTCGAAATTTATATTTTTTTAATTTTGATCACGTATTTGAACATAGAATCTTTAAATTTTTAAAATAAAATTTACATATTTGAAAAACATATTTAAAGTACTATAAGTTATAATAATAAATAATTCAAAATATTTAAAAGACATCAAAAATAGCAGTCAAAGAACAACTCGTTCGACTCTCAAGATTCAAATACCGTCACATAAATTGGGATGAAGGAAGTAGTAAACAAGTCTACTTTCACTATTTAACTTTATCCTAGGACAAGTTTTCCAAATCATGGTTAGAGAATAATGATATATAGTAAAGATATTTTACACCGACAGTGTAGTATAACTTGTGATAGCAGGTAAATTACCATTTTTACTACGTTACTAATTAATGCTGATCAAGATTTACCTATAATTATCTTATAAAAATCTGATTATATAAATAATTTTTAATACTATTAGTGCAAAGAACTTAAACTAAATCAAGAAAAGAGCGGATTGATCCAAACCTGGTAAAAATAAAGTGAATGTGACAACCTCCCAACATCAAGTTCCCATGTTCTTGGATCTCCAATCCAACCATCTCCTTTCCTAGTAGGATAACCATAATCTCCCCAAACAGGATGTGGCAAAATCTGCAGAATTTCCTGAGGCTGAGGATTACTATAAGGATCACAATGAACACTAGGCTGTTCAATATGTTCTCCATTTCCAGGTGCACAATACATATGATAAGCCTCATAGGGAAAATGAGTCGTATCGTTTCGATGAATTCTTGTTCCATTAGGGAAAATGTGATATGGTGGACATAATTTTGGGCTATCTGGTTTGCACCAAGATGGTGTTTCTGGATTCAGGATCATCTCGTTGTATCGCGTAACGTCGGATGTTACATTGCCATCACATGGATTTCCATTGTTCTTCCAACAACTTCCCATGTCCATTAAGTAAAATTGGCTGCTTGGACCTCCTCCCCTTATCACATTCAATGTGAATCTCACCTTAAAATTTGGTGATTCTGGTATCTGCAAAACACAAAAGTAGCAATAATCTCAAAGATTCATAGGGGTGAGTACTTAAAATAAGGAAAAAGGTCCAAATTTACACATCAGCTATACGAAATATCTTAATTTTACCTTTTGTTATACTTTCTGGTCATTCATGCTCTTATCATTAGTAAATCATGTCGTATTTGACTCAAACTTTAATGGAGCTCTAACATGGACTGAATGGATTTGCTAAGTTACTCCTCTACTTTTGGCTATAATGTAAAATTTATCCTCCTTTACACTTCAGGTTGGAGCTTCGTTAGGGTCGAGGACAAATACGAAATGATTTACTAACGACAAGGGTATGAATGACCTAAAAGAATATAACGGAGGTTAAAATTATGATATTTCGTATAATAGAGATGTATTTTTGACCATTTTCCCACATATGTAGCAGACAAGAGTTAGAAAATTAAAGTGTACTCACAATTTTTGACATGCCCCTAGTTGGATAATGGTATCCACCAGAAAAACCAAATGTGGCATCTGATCTTAGGTAAAGCATAAGCCAAGGATACTTAGTTGATGTCCTCAACACATGGTGAAAAATCCAACTTCCT